GAGTAAATGCGACGACGCCTTCAAGAAGGGGACGGCGCCAGAACGCCATCGCCGCTGGCTTGACAAGTCAGAACAAGTTTTCACCCCGGCCATTACTCATCAGCACCAAGACGTGGTACGGTCAACCGCACCACCGCCATTGAAAGCCATACCCCTTCCACCATGCTGCCCACATGGAAATGGTCGTCCGAAAGTGCCTGAGCTGGGTGCTCCGCCCACGAGCACCCACTAGTAGAAAAATGACCTAATGTTCAGCCCTTCAGTCCCGGTTTATAAATTAACCGGCACTAACGTGACCATTGGTGCCAGTTCTAATGGCTATGCATTAGTCCCGGTTCGTGTTGAACCTTTAGTACCGGTTCGTGGCACGAACCGGTACTAAAAGGGTGGTGGCAGGCTGACGCCAGGCCGGGGCCCCACGAGCCCCTTTAGTCCCGGTTTGTGACACGAACCGGGACTAAAGGTCTAACCTATAGTGCCGGTTTGCATCACAAACCGGGACAAAATGGGTCTGCCCTTTAGTCCCGATTCGTGTCTCAAACCGGGACTAAAGGTCCCATTTTCAAACACTAACCCCAACCCCTGATCCCTTTTTCAGTTTTGTAAAAAGCAAAAGAAAATGATAAAAATTTTAAAAATTAAAATCCTTCGTCATGTAGTTATGTTACTACATCTACTAGTTAGGAAAATTAAAAAACTTAAATTTGGACATGTTTTGCAAAAAAAAGTGTTATGAAAATGTAAAACGACTATATCTTTTGCATACTATATGTTGTATTAGTACTGTTGGCTATGTACTAGTACTACTGTGCTTATCCCGATACCTTTTTGGTACTGTTATCCAAGCTTTGTTGCAAACTTGTAACTGCTAAAAATTTACGAGTCCCTTTTGATGCCTTCTGTATTTGATGGAGTTACTTTAGTTTTTCACAAATATGCTTCTAATAATAACTCCCATGTCCATGTTCTTTTCTTGCACCTGAATTGTATAATACTGCACAGTATTATTTTGTGTCATCCTAAACTTTGTTTTTCATGCGGATTCTGCAAATTTTCCATCTTTATCAGGATAATTCTGCGCGCTGTTGGATCTTTGAAAAAAATCAACTTAAAGAAGCTCCCGTGCACACAAATTTCCCAGAGCTAAAAGAATCAATAGATGTAAAACTGCGACTCCTTGACTCCTTGTTGACCTTCGCCTTTCTCCTGAATGTGTGAGCTTGTATCATACTAACTGGTATATCAAATGTTCATGCAGCTCTCAGTAGTATCTCATCAATGCTTTGGTCTTACACTTGCACCTGGAGAAGTAATGATTGCTGTGGTATGCTGTAGGTTGTTCCTTAAATTTGACATATGTTGCTCAACTGCGAGTTTTGCACTTGAGCTTATGTACATAAGCTACACCAATTGATGGATATTGTCTCTTTCAGGTCCGCAGCTTGGATCCAAATATGCTAGATCAGATGTATCAAGCCAGGTATTATTTATGAGCTTAGTATAGGAAGTACTGGAGCCTTGTAATAGAAAAATCTAAATGTATTGACTGCTTTGAGATAAAAGTCCATCAATTCATCATGGTAACATTTTGGTGAACAAAAACAACAGGACACAAAAGGCAGTGGTTGAGTTCATTTGGATTGGTGGTCAGTTCCTTGGCATTCCACTAAACAAGGACATTTATATCTCCAACAAACAATCTGCAAATTCATCCGAGACTAACTTCTTATGGTGGGGTTCCAACATTCTTTGGTCATTGAAGAATTATGAAAAATGTGAAACCAGACTTGTCTTATGGGATGTCATAGCTGCTTTACAAGTGCTCATGAAATCCGCACCAGCATTTCTGGAGACACTAATGCATAAATGGGTCTCAGATTTGTTTTCAGATGATCAACAACGTGTTTCTATCGATACACTGTGTCAGTGTAAAAAGGACATGATGTCCAATGTCAGCTCGCGGAAGCTACACCTGCTGAATATCATTTGTAGGAAAGTAATGCTTCGTGATCCTGCTGGAGAAAATGGTAATAGCACGTCAACTGATTTGTGGAGCAGTCTTCTATTGAGCAGCGAAAGAGAGCTACGAGAGAGACTTGTGGCTTTCACTTTTGCTGCTGCCTTGAATCGAATGTCATATTTTCGCAAGGGTGCATGTGCTGAAAACATGTGGTTTCCTGTTGGTGTTGCCCAGATGCGTTCTTGGGTGTCTATGAACAGTGGAGGAGTGCATAATCAGCTCAGGTCTCTCAGTTCGACAATTAAACGTCTTGGAAGCAGGTATTCAGTTTTTGCTAGATTTATTTTTCATCTACTCTATAAGCTGATTCCATTACTTCAAGGACCTAACGTTTTGTCAGTTCATTGAACTGTAAAATTGGGAATTCAGTATATCTGCTTCAAATAGTTTTTTCTGTTGCAGGATCAACTCTGTGTGTGAATACTCGGCTAAAGAAACCTGTGCCTATTGCTCCACACCGGTTCACTTGGAGTCACCTGACATAGCCTTGTGTGGAAGTGTCGATCCTGCTATTGTTCCCACGGAAAGGCACAAGCTGTCAAGATGTGCAGCATCGATGCGCTTATGCTCTGTTCTGGAACCAACCTGGTACTGTGTATGTTGTGGAGGAATGGTTGATAAGCTTGTGCCCGAGACCTATTTCACCATGAAGACATCTCCCTTGTTGGATGCTGCAGATCCAGATGATGAATCGTCACTTTATTCAGCACCTGCTGTTCCTCGTTGCCCCTTCTGCGGCATACTGCTGCAAAGGTTGATGCCAGAGTTCCTGCTCTCCGTCTCCCTGGTATAGAAGCTAGTGGGACTTTTCTGCTCAAGTGCACATCGTCTCTTTCTGCATTATTGTGCGTTTGTTCTTTATTCCTAGAGGCTGCCAAAAAAGGATGGAAAGCAACGTCATCCTGTGTAAGTCCTGAATTTCTTTTATCTATATGTTACTTTGAATTATTGAGCTCCAAACACCTTTTTAACACATGATTAGGAAGTTTCTACGGAATATGGCCGGGAACAACTGAGCTTTATCTTCGATACAGCATGCACATTATATTACTCTACTTTTTAATAGTCCTATTATTAAGCTTTTGGTTGATTGTGCCACTGAGTTTCTTATAATGGTATTTCAACGACAGCATGATTGTTCTTGGGGAGATGCTTGTTTTGAATATTATGTTGGTCAGCGCGTGCAGTGGCATCTGTAGCTTCGGTAGAGATCAAGTAAGAGCCAGATAGTCTAAAGGCAAAAGGAAATGGTTCAAGAGAAGACAGCGGTGCACAATCTTCATGTCCCATGTTGGGACATGACCCATAGTTGTCGTGTTAGACAAGAGGCTTCTAGGACTCGTAACTGGTCAAGTGTTTTAGCATATGATGTTCACAAGATTACTTTCCGTTGCTGAGCCGTGGACATAAGAGGTCATGTCTCAGTTTATAAGATTTTATAGGGTTTTCATGTCTCGATTTATATGATTTGTCATTTTAGCTTTTGGTGAGGCTGTGCTTCAGGTTGTTGGTTACTTATATATATATAATTGTCAAGCAGCAAGTAAATTTGGCAAAAATTGGTGGATAGGCTGCTAGCAAGGGACTGTCCTCACTCTGCTCGCTGCATCTTGTGCGACCAAGTTGCCGAGACAGCAGGCCATCTCACGATTCTTTTGCTAAGGAGATTTGGCATAGCTTCTCCAGAACCGACGACAAGGCATCCAACTTTGCCTTGAGTACCACTTCCTTCTCGGATTGGTGGCCTAAGTCTCTGGTAGGATACAGGACACACGGAAGCAGGTGACAACGGCACCATATGTGGCATGGAACCTTTGGAAGGAACGCAATCGCCGTACTTTTGAGGGGGGGAGATGCTCCTCGGAAACAGTTGCGGCCATGGCAAGAGATGAGATTTCGCTGTTTTGGGAGGCTATCAATTGAGGCCTGCCCATCTGTGTTTTATTCTGTTCTTGTTATTTTCCTGGGTCTTTTCCTATTTTGCTTCAGTTTGAGTTTTGTGTGCTCTGCCTGTGTCCTATGGTTCAGCGGCTTTGTTTTGTACTGATGTTTGGGGCCTTGGTCCATACCCCTTCCCCTTCTTTATGAAATCGGCAGTGCCCCTGCCGTTGCCCGTCAAAAATTTGGCCAAAAATAGTGCTCCCTCCGTCCCATAATATAAAAGCGTTTTTTGCACTAAACTAGTGTCAAAAATGTTCTTATATTATGGGACAGAGGGAGTATGTAGTATAACATATATACAGATGTGAGGCTGGGGCTGTGGAGCAAGTTTGTTCGATTTTGGAGGATCATAATCCACCATCTGCCGGGTACTTTCTTATTTTGTTCTACTTATGCTGGAATGTTTAAAGCCTGCTCCGGTAATTGAATAGTGACTTTGACAGTGCAGGCAGGCAGTTAGACTCTTGCTAGGGCCAATAACGTCTCTAGATTACTGCCGGTTGAGTGGGTCCCTCTCTGCTTTCCTTGAAGCATGTAGAGCACATGGATCTTAGCATGAACTGCTTGCTAGGGCCAACATTCATATTCCTCTGTTCTTGGGCTCCATGGAGAACCTGAGACATCTTAGCCTCTCTGGCGTGCCATTTACTGGTAGAATTCCTTGTCAGTTTGGTAACATGTGCAGCATCTTGACCTTGGTCAGGATGATTATTCTCAAATGTACTCAACGAACATTATATGGTTAACAAAGCCGCCTTATTGAGCGGAATAAATCTCTCGAGTAAAGCTGGCCGGCCTCATACCTTGAATATCGTTCCATCTCTAATCTTGCTGAATGTTCACTTGATACTACACAATCGCTTCCTTTTTTTTGTTGCGAATGCGTCGCTTCCCTTCCTTAACCTCACGAAACTTGAGAAGCTTGATCTGTCCTTGAATTATTTAGACCACTCAATTGCGTCAAGTTGGTTTTGGAAAGTGACTAGCCTCAAATACCTCAGTCGTGGTGGGAACCAGTTATTTGGATAATTTTCGGACGCACTAGGAAACATGACGTCGCTCAAGGTACTTGATTTGTCAAACAACAATCTGAATAAAGCTGGAAACCTTCAAAATCTTATTAAAACCCTTCGCTATTTGCAAATCTACGACCTCTCTGCAAATGTTATGAATGAAGATATAGTGTTGATGGAGGGGTTGGTGCAATGCACACATGAAAAGTTGCTGGAGCTGCATTTCTTCGGGACCCTGCCAAATTTTATAGGGGAATTCAGTACCTTGAGCATGCTTGACATGCACATAAACAATCTTGTTGGATTTATCCGAAAAGGCTTCCGTCCCGCTTTATATACCATGGAGATACACACACACACACACACACACACACCCTGCTGGGCACAGGCGGAGCTCTCGGTAGGGCGAGGTTGGGCGCTCGCCCTACCTTGATTTTTTCGATTTTTTAGGTATACCGTATACGTACAAGTCAGATCGATGGAAGGGAAAGGAAAACCGGCTAAAAAATTGCTCTGTCCCGTGGTATTGGGCCTCTTTTGGGCCGCATGCAAGTCAGGAAGTCCACCTACGCTCGAATCGGGTTCCAGAGTAGTAGATTGCCTACGAGTGTTCTTTGGCTCGTGGCCTACAGTCGACCAGCCGGCCACGGAGCGGCGCGTGTTCCCGGCGGCCAGCAGTAGCCGCATCCAGTGAGCGCGAGTGCCTCATCACAGAGCTTCGATCCTCGGCCTTGCCACCAGTGCCGCACACGCTAGCTCAGATGCACTCCACCCCCACGTGGCCATCAGCGCCGGCTACGGCGGCGATGTGCCGAAGCTGCTACTTGGAAAGCCCTCCGACTTCTCGTCCTCATCGACGGAAAAGAATAGTAAAGGGCTAGAAATGACGAAGGGGAGATATAACTTATTTGAATTTTACTGTAATTTTCATAAAATGACCTAATTATTGTGAGATTTTCATATGGTGAATTTTAGATTTGACAATACATTTTGAGCTAATTGGTAGTCGCAGTAGCTCCAATCCAAATACGCGTAAAAGTGGGCATTCTACGACACACTCCGTTCATCAACATCACTTAAATTCTTTGGAAAGGCTCATTAAAACTTTTATCGGCACGTTTTTAGGTTGTTTCTGTCATAATAGATCTTCACTTCCACTATATTTGGTTATTATGTATAGAATTTCATAAAGAACATGTGCAATTTAGTTTATACGGACTACTTTAGTTTACAGTTTTCTATCAATTTTTTATATGCTTTAGAGTTCGCCACACCTCAAAGTGGGTTTATGAATTTGGTGTGTTTAACCATTCTAGATCTCAGCGAGAATCAGCTCAATGAGAATGTAAGGGCATGTACAATGGTGCTATCTTAGGAGTGCCACATAGAATAAATGCTGAGGTGGAGGAGAGAAAAATAATAAGAAAAGACTTGTCTTCTACTCCCTCCGTCCGGAAATACTTGTGAGAGGAATGGATGTATGTAGACATAATTTAGTTCTGGATACATCCATTTTTATGCATTCCTTCGACAAGTATTTCCGGACGGAGGGAGTATTATTTAAGATATGGCTTCTTAGCACAATATGTCTCACGTTTTTAGGAATTGCTAGTTATTAAGGATAATGCTAAGAGATAACCCATTGTAGACATTCGTTTATTGCATCTCTAAATTACATGTAAGTCTTAAGATAACATTGTCTTATCAACCACTGTAGATGCCCTAACAACTGAAATTGGTGCCCTTACCGCACTTATTTGGACATAAGGGGCAAGAACTTGACCGGAACTATACCGGCTGAGCTTGGAAAACCGAAGCATTTGGCTACCCTTTCTCTCACGGACAAACAAAACAAATTGGATCCATACCACCAAAGGTTATGCATTCAACTAGCTTAACCATCCTCAGGCTCTCCAGTAATCACTTCAATGGAAGTTTACCCACCGAATTAGGTTCTCTGAAGAATCTAGCTTTCCTGCAACTAAACAACAACAACCCTAGCGGTGTGATTATGAAAGAACATGTTTCGAACCTAAAAAATAAATTTCATCAACTTGTCTTCCAATAATTTGGAGATTGTAGTTGATTCAGATTGGCGCTCTCCCTTTACGTCGCTACAGTTTGAAAATTTTGCATCTTGCCAAATAGGTCCTCTCTTTCTAGCTTGGCTTTAGCAGCTACAGGGAATCACCGAACTTGACATTAAAGCACTGGTTTAGAGGTCAAGTTTCCTGGTTGGTTTTGGTAATACATTTTCAGGACAGCTAGTCTCAACATCTCTAACAACCAAATAAATGCCAACACATATGGGTGGCATGGCTTTTAAAAGACTCTACCTAAGTTCAAACCGGCTCACCGGATCAATGCCTTCTTTGGTGAGAAATATGAACATGTTCGACAATAAATTTTTAGGAGTAATACCTTCAAATTGTACACTCCCGTGCTTCAAATGTTGCTTATCTATTCAAATCGAATTGGTGGGTGCATTCCAGAATCTATTTGCAAATTGCAACACTTATTAAATTTGGATTTGTCGAACACTGCTTTGGTGGGTGGAATTCTTCAATGTTTTGACATGCAAAAGGTACATTTTCTTCTGTCGGATAACAATAGTATATCAGGAAAATTCCCAACATTTTTGCAGAATAACACAGATTTGGAGTTCTTGGATCTTGCATGGAACAGGTTGACTGAAAGATTGCATACATGGATATGAGATCTAGGGAAATTATGTTTGTAATTTGGACCACACTGCAATTTTTTCTGATAATATTCCAGTCAACATAGCAAGCCTTATGGCTTATGTATCTTCAATACTTGGATCTTTCGTCCAACAATT